CTGAACTTTTATACATTTTGATTTTAGGCCTCATGTCATAAGTTTTTTTTGTTTATTTTAATTATTCTATCGTCTGTTAAAATCAAGCCAGTCAAACTTCTAATACCCTGTATATGGTTTGAGTTTAGAATATCAACAAGTCTTTGGTACGGATTTGTTTCGTTAGAATTAAGTTCATTTTTAATTAGCAATTAGTGAATTACACATCATTAGAGGTATTAAATAATCAGGGTGTAAATAAATATGTAAGTGCGAAAAATTAAAGATAATTTCTCCTTTGTATTTATATTTTATAAGTATTGGGAAAGCTACAAAAATGAAATTACGTGCCTATCCTTCATATTATCGAAAGGGTGTTTACTGGACAATTTATTCACGTTTCCTTTTGGTTGCAAGGGATGTAAGTAACTTCTGCAAATTATTTCTTGTGTAACTTTTTTTGCTAACATCAAAATAGTCAATTAAAGAAGCAGAGTTGTGGCGAGACAACTCAGCTTTGTCAGTTCGTCGGTCTTGTGCCAAAAATCAGATTACTGTCCTCCTTACTTGCCAGGCCTGACTCCTTGTGATTTTTTCTTATTTCCGAAATTAAAATCAGTGCTGAAGGGACACCGGTTTTAGACTATTGATGACATCAAAGCAAATTCGTCATAGACTTTAAAAGATTTCTTTTTTTTTCAGTAGTATTAACATTTCTAAAATGTTTACAATTCCTTAATATAAAACCTTAAATATTATTGGCATTACTAACCAGATGATTAATATGAGTAACAAATGTAAGATTAAAATGAAAGGAGATGCCTAAATCCTTTACACAATCACCTCTTGAAATTGCAATATCATTAAGTTTTAAGATAATATTAACTTTAAGCGATTTGGATTACACCATCTGCTAATTAAGTTGGCCCGAGTTTGTAAATATACAGGGTGTTTTTGAATGGAGTAGCCTAAATGATACCTACATTTCAAAAGAACACGATCTGCAAAAAATCGCCTTAGTAAAATGTTCACCCCTGAAGAGATATGGGCCATCAAAGTTTCCAAAAAAATTATGAAAATTGGCTGTAATTTGAAAACCGAACGAGGTACAAATAACAAATTTTTTACAGGTTGTTTACTAATACAGATGCGAGTTTTCAACTATTTTTCGAAAATTTTAACCCCTCGAAAGGGGTTGAAATAACCACCCCTCAAGACATTTTTTGCCATAACTTTTATATTTCGTAAAAACTCGAAATCCAAAAATACGCATTAGATAAACTGGTTCTTTTAGAAACTTTTACCTCTCTAGCAATTTTCCTTTAAAACTTTTTGGGAAACTGGAAAAATACAGCCGCATATTGAGGGTACCCGCCGAAGACCTACTGTTCGTACCCTGTATATAATATAATTTCCTTCACCCTCGGTACTTGAATAAATTATCTGCAAAAAGGATAATAGCAAGATTTAAAAAAATCATTAATAAGCAAGAGAAATCACAAATTTGTACCTTGTGGAATGCTAGAAGTAATTTCAAACGATGATGAACTAAAACCCAAACGCTTATCAAAATGTTTGAAATAAATCAAGCTATCTATAACGTTTTTAAACGACCATATTGTTGCAGACCGAGCTGCAGACGTGAAAAGTGACATCATCTTCTGCGGCTTTTAACTTTTAAAATTGAAATTTAGGAAAAAATCTTACAGCTCATGAAGTGGAGCTATTTTATACCTAATAGCTCACAAAAAACTGTCAATATTTCTTTTGTAAAGAATAACGCTGCCTCCTGAATGAGAAAGTTCAGCACATTCTGAAAAGAATAGCCCCTGCTTCCTGGTGTTTCTTATGCTGGTTGAATCACCGCCTACTGCGACTATAAAGGGACTTTAATGGGCAATAAAGAACAAAGTTGAAATTACTAATCTCGGGAATTATACAGTACTAACAAGAATTATGCTCTGCAAGTTTCAGGATATTTATTATTCATTAAATTGGCTTTAACTAGGACATTCTGTCTAAGTTGTACATCTCTGCGGAATAAAAACTTTAAATGACCATTAGAGCTCATTTAACAAACAATTTAATACACAAAAAGTGAAATTTACAGTTCCTTCAACTTTTATATCAAGTTAATTTTTCGGTCTGGATATTTTTGTCGAATATTCTCTTGACTGGTCTAGTCTAGATACAGCAAAAAGTAGAATCGCTAATATTTAACTTTCTTATTAAACTCGACAAAATTACCTGGAACATTGAATGAGGGTCAATTATACGAAGGTTACCTCTGACCTTTAGAAACCCACATCATAAGTTTGTTTTTCAGATTTTCTCGTGAAAACTGATATCACAAGTCGCGAAATTTAACAGTAAAGATATAAGCTTACACCGTCATTGTATAACCGAAATAAATAATTTAAAAGGTTACACACTTATACATACTAGACAAAAACGCTGCAGTAAATACTAGGTACTTTAAATTTTATTATAAAATTAACTTAAGCTGAATCAACGTTGACCGTTTGTTTTTTGTTCGTCTACCACCCTGTTCACGTGTATCCGGTGTAAAATCAAACCAATCGCGTAAACAATGATCAAGTACGTGCTCTGCGAAACTATTGGTCGAAACGGATTGAACGACAATCCCCATAACAGTTGCTATCACATCGTGTAATAGTTTTCACTTCGTGCGTATCATTGGCGTCTTTTTATTGCTGTTTTATGTTTTTTGGATTGATTTAAGGTGTCTAGCGGTATGTTTTAACTTTTAACAACATATAGTGCGTTTCTCTATATTAGATTTAAAAAGTTTAGAAAGTAATTAACTTACCTTGGAAAAAAATGCGACTATAGTCTGTTTGGAAATGAAAGAGAGTAATAAAACCCCGAGATAAGAACCGGCCATGGGCGTGGTAATATTTCGTTTCAGGTAATTATCGGGTAACACTAATGCTAACAAAAATGACAGGGATTGGAAAATCGACTATCTACAGACTTTTAAAGGAAACAAAAAATGAACAAGATACTGTAAATCCCCCAAAATCATCTACAGGGAGGTCAAAAGTCGTTATAGATGATTTCTTCAAAAATGTCATTCGCAGAAAAGTACACTCATTTTATTTTAAAAAAGAAATACCAACGCTAAACAAAATTTTAAGTGAACTTTCAGAGGACAACGATTTGCCAAAAATCAGTAGAAGCAAATTATGGGCCGTCTTACGAGAGTTGAATTTTTGCTGGGAAAAGCAGAACAGGAAGTCAGTTCTTATCGATAAAGATGAAATTATTTGTTGGCGAAGATCCTACTTAAGATCAATTAGAAAATTCCGTGACGAAGGGAGGAATATTTATTATCTAGACGAAACTTGGGTCAACGAGGGATATACTGTAACAAAAGTATGGCAAGATAAAAATGTAAAAAGTTTTCGACAAGCATTTTTGGATGGACTTTCAACAGGGTTCAAGGCACCTTCAGGTAAAGGGCGAAGATTAATAGTGACACATATAGGTAGTGCCAGTGGTTTTGTAGATGGCGGTTTACTTTTATTTGAATCTAAAAATACAGGTGACTATCACGAAGACATGAACGCAGATGTTTTCGAAGAGTATTTTACACAGATGTTGGATCTTATTCCTCCGGGGTCTGTAATTGTCATGGATAATGCCAGTTACCATTCACGGCAGACCGAGCGGACGCCTACGACTGCTTGGAGGAAAGCCGATATAATTCAATGGTTATCCGGAAAAAACATTTCTTTTGAAACAAATATGGTGAAAAAGGAACTTTTGACACTTGTCAATCTTAATAAAGATCAGAAAAAATATGTTATCGATGAAATGGCAACAAATCGCCAAATAACGGTACTACGGTTACCACCTTATCACTGTGAACTTAACCCAATCGAATTAGTCTGGGCGCAGGTAAAAGGAGATGTAGCGCGAAATAATACGACGTTTAAATTAAGTGACGTGAAAATTTTGTTAAAAAATTCCTTGGAACGAGTAACTGCAGATAACTGGCAAAGATGTATACATCATGTACAAAAAGAAGAGGAGAAAATGTGGGAACTCGATAATTTAATTGACGTTACTGTGGAACCTATCGTTATCAATCTAGGAGACGAAGATAATTCATCAGAATATTCAGAGGATGAATTTTAATATACCTACTTTTTTATTTTCTTTATTGTACATTTATACAACACTACATTTACTCACCATAATTTGAATTTTCAAAATACATATATTTTTGTGTGGAATAAAAGTCTATTCATTAAATTTAAATAAATATTTTGATAATAATATTGAATAATTTTATTTGAATTACTAAAAACCCTCTTAACCCGGTTATGATGCTTAAAGTAGCCTCATGTTTTGAAATGCTATTTTTATATTGTTTACTTATAAGAGAAATGGACCGAGAAATTGAAGCGGCATAGACAAAGACGGATTGTCGGGGATTAAATTTTAGCTACCTGCTACAATTTAGTATAGTCCGATCGCACAAAGTTTTTTTAAAAGTACACCTCATCCTATTCCGATAATACATAATATAAAAATGTTGCATATAAGCACCAGTACTACATTTATTTACGATTTGCATACATAATAAGCTTTTATTACTCTCTTTCATTTCTAAACAGACTATAGTAATGTACATAAATTAGGTTGAACGCAAATCATTAGTCCGCTTGCCGGTATCTTAATGGACAAACAAGAGAGATGATATTTAATATGACCAATTTATGATGACGTATCACTTATGGAGGAAAATTCCAGCTAATGAAATCGAATATTGCCGATATACTGAAAAATACGGTGGATATTAAAAATATTCTGACTTTATTTGCAACTTTGTAAAAATTGCTTTGTTTCTGTACTCATCCTACTGTCACACTAACTTTAAATCGATAAATTTCCAAAAATACAATTTTTTTGTAAATTCAATTATAAATTTACAGAATATGAAAATTTGGCTTAGAATTTCTGTAGTTTTTAGTGTTTATCAATTTTTTTTCCAGATGGCAATCTTCCACGTGGAGGCGCACCCGAACATCACGTGGTACTACCAGTGCGTCACCTACAACGTACTCCCATCGTACGCTCACGAACTGATGTACACAGTCTTTGGTATGGTGATGATGTACGCGCTTCCTCTGCTGGTGATAATCTACTCGTATGCCTCCATACTTATAGAGATTTGCAGAAGGACGAGGAACCCTGTAGGAGGTATGATAGAGAAAGGGGAATGAATTGTCTGATGATGCCGACTTAGTGAAAACGAGATAAAAGCAGTCATAAAAATAAATCAGTTTCAATTAGACTAGCGAAAATTTTAAAAAAAAATTGACATGCCAAATTTATATATTTTTTAAGTAATGTTACAACAATATTAGATTAATATACAGGGATGGCCAGAAGTACGGAATAAAATTCATATCTTTTGAATGAGTAATTTTTTTTTAAAACGCCGAAACACGTTAACTGATTTTGATTTTTTCCCATCTTTCGGTTATATAATAATTAATTTTTCTTCAACCCCCTAACCCCCAGCTACCCCTACTTTTTTTTCAAATGGAAACATAAGGCATGAGNTATTTACGATTTGCATACATAATAAGCTTTTATTACTCTCTTTCATTTCTAAACAGACTATAGTAATGTACATAAATTAGGTTGAACGCAAATCATTAGTCCGCTTGCCGGTATCTTAATGGACAAACAAGAGAGATGATATTTAATATGACCAATTTATGATGACGTATCACTTATGGAGGAAAATTCCAGCTAATGAAATCGAATATTGCCGATATACTGAAAAATACGGTGGATATTAAAAATATTCTGACTTTATTTGCAACTTTGTAAAAATTGCTTTGTTTCTGTACTCATCCTACTGTCACACTAACTTTAAATCGATAAATTTCCAAAAATACAATTTTTTTGTAAATTCAATTATAAATTTACAGAATATGAAAATTTGGCTTAGAATTTCTGTAGTTTTTAGTGTTTATCAATTTTTTTTCCAGATGGCAATCTTCCACGTGGAGGCGCACCCGAACATCACGTGGTACTACCAGTGCGTCACCTACAACGTACTCCCATCGTACGCTCACGAACTGATGTACACAGTCTTTGGTATGGTGATGATGTACGCGCTTCCTCTGCTGGTGATAATCTACTCGTATGCCTCCATACTTATAGAGATTTGCAGAAGGACGAGGAACCCTGTAGGAGGTATGATAGAGAAAGGGGAATGAATTGTCTGATGATGCCGACTTAGTGAAAACGAGATAAAAGCAGTCATAAAAATAAATCAGTTTCAATTAGACTAGCGAAAATTTTAAAAAAAAATTGACATGCCAAATTTATATATTTTTTAAGTAATGTTACAACAATATTAGATTAATATACAGGGATGGCCAGAAGTACGGAATAAAATTCATATCTTTTGAATGAGTAATTTTTTTTTAAAACGCCGAAACACGTTAACTGATTTTGATTTTTTCCCATCTTTCGGTTATATAATAATTAATTTTTCTTCAACCCCCTAACCCCCAGCTACCCCTATATTTTTTTTTCAAATGGAAACATAAGGCATGAAGGGACTCGTTGAAAAGCTTATAGAAAACTGAATCCAGTCATACCAAATAAACCAGTTTTATTTCATGCCTTATGTTTCCATTTGAAAAAAAAAGTAGGAGTAGCTGGGGGTTAGGGGGTTGAAGAAAAATTAATTATTATATAACCGAAAGATGGGAAAAAATCAAAATCAGTTAACGTGTTTCGGCCTTTTAAAAAGAATTAACTAATTCAAAAGATATGAATTTTATTCCGTACTTGTGGCCATCCCTGTATACATAAAATGTTACTTATATTTTCCCTTGGACTAAGTGTTCAAAATTTAAAAATAAATCATTCTTGTTTATACCTTTGAAACGCGTTATTAAATTTTTTTGGCTGGATGGCAAAATTAATATGCTTTAAAGATGTATGTTCACTGACTTTAAAGTCCAATAAATTTTTATTAAACGTTTTTTTTTCTGCTGGAATTATTCAGCGCATACCGCTTCATCTGCCTGATGCTTCGTTTTAAACGTTGTTCATTATTAAACTTTCCGGCATATCAGGATATCGTTTTCCACGTGAAAGGAAAACTGGGTTAAGGCTATATCTGCTAATGTAGGGGACGACAAAAAGTAAACGCAGGAACAAAAATTTATGATTAACTCATTTCCCAGACTTCAGCCGCGTTCATTTGTCATATGTCCTTTTTATCAGCAACAGCCTTAATAAAATGTCATTCGGTTTTTATTTTATTCTGGTGTGTGTAATGGTAATAATAGTAAAAATTCTTTGTTAAAAGTGGAAGTTGAAAATTTAACAAAAAGTATCCATGTGGATGGCGCTACATATCTTTTCATTTAACAAAGTACCACAATGTTTGTGCAGATGCCGCAACACAAGGTACATAGTACTTAATAGTTGTATTATTATTTCATTCATATTCAAGAATTTTTATGACCTCAGACGAACTAATCGCCCTATGAACGTGTAAAAGCGTATTCCCGCACTATGTACATGGAACATAAGAACCGTAAGAATTCGGTAAAGCATATATTTTGTTGAGACAGAGTTCTAAGAAGACCCCTGAGTCACTTTATAGAATTAACCCCATTCGACACCCGAGATAGAAAGACATTGGCAGAAAATTTCAAGGCGGTAAATTGTTACAGTAGTTCCGATAACAGAACTTTATTGGCTTATCCTTTTCTTGAAATTCTATCTCAACAAATATCGTACGGACTATAGCTTTGTCAGTGGACATGATAGAACTTTTTTTAATGTGCATACTTCAATATCAGTTTCTCTTTATTATAATTTAACACTCGTAATAATAACATGACAACACTCCAATTAAAAAACTAAACAAAAAACTGCCGAGGCAGACTTGTAATATATTTTGATTTTCGGAAAATATTAGCTAGTCTTATATGCGATGTTCAATTGTTTTTGTAAGAAATTAATTTTTGAAGCCTTCGGAGTACCATAGAAATTTAATGGGAAACTATTTTCCAAAAGTCTAAAAACAAAAAAGTTATCAATGTGATCAGTTTTTTGTGTAATCTGTACATACGTGTAAATATATTTTCAGTTCTTTATTCTAAATTATTTTCTTTAGATAAATTGTCAGATAATATTTGTTCAATGCTGTGTGTAAAATCTTTATAATTTCTTTCCGCTGTTTTAAAAAGACTGGAAGTCGCCATCAACTTGCTTAATTTAAATAGAACACCCTATATATTATTGCAATTTTAGATTCTACGTGTTATTTTTGGACTTTTATGAAGTTTCCCTATTCCTAAAAAAAAATGGAGAGAAACAGTTACTAGCTTCAAACGATGTGTATTTTATAGTAAGAAAGAGAAAGCAACAATATTTATAGGGGGGATAGCTAGACCCCTAAGCTTCCCATCCATACTTTCAAAGTGGCTTAATTGCATACAGGGTGCTAGAAATTTAATGCCGAGTTTAGTTAACTTCAAACCTTCATAAGTCGGTTTTTTTAAATGGAACACCCTGTATGTTTTTCTATATTCTGATACACAATTTTATTCTCTTTCGAACGGTATCAGGGTTCCCTATACCTATCTCTTCTAGTTTTTAAGTTATCTACTATTTTTTGTGTAATCACCTAAAATCATGTAATTTCTTGCGAGGATAGCTGTGGAATTTTTAGCAAAACTTCAAAACAAACAACTAAACTGTCACCAGTTATTTATTATTATTTATTCACAGACGTTGCAATGGGATTCTAAGCAGAACATTTACAGTTTTCAATGAGACATATCCCAATTTTCCACCAACGAGTCAACTTCATACGTAGTAATACACAATTTTAATTATGTATGTTGATAATAATAATAATGCACTAAGATAAAAAAATGACTTAAAAAAGTCATAATTGTTCAATATGACCTCCATTAAAAGCTAAGCACTTGTGGATTCTAGAGATTTCTCGCAAGAAATTACATGATTTTAGGTGATTACACAAAAAAATAGTAGATAACTTAAAAACTAGAAGAGATAGGTATAGGGAACCCTGATACCGTTCGAAAGAGAATAAAATTGTCTATGTAAAACATACAGGGTGTTCCACTTAAAAAACCGAAGGTTTGAAGTTAACTAAACTGGGCATTAAATTTCTACTGTATACAATTAAGCCGCTTTGAAAGTATGAATGGGAAGCTTAGGGGTCTAGCTATCCCCCATGTAAATATTATTGCTTTATCTTTCTTACTATAAAATACACATGGTTTGAAGCTAGTCACTGTTTCTCTCCATTTTTTTGAAAAAAAGTAAATATCTCGAAAACGGTTAATTTTAGGAATAGGGAACCTTCATATAAGTTCACCTAAAATAACACGTAGAATCCAAATTTGCAATAATATATAGGATGTTCCATTAAAAATAAGCAAGTTGAAGGCGACTTCCGGTATAACCGGAAGTGGTACGTAGACGCCATTATTTTAGTTGAGAAGGGCATGCCAGAAAACCCGGTATCCCAAATTTTCAAAATTCAAATCGAAGTAGTCTCTGAAATAATTCTAATGGGCCGTCACCGTGATACACCCTGTATATTGGAACAAAACTAGGTCTATTTGCTGTTCCTTGTAATTTTAATATGTTATGGTTTCAACAAACGAAATTCTGTGGTAAAATCATTTGCACCTTCACAAAACGCATGCTTTCAAATAAGAATTTCACACAGTTTTTGGACCGTCGCGTTGTAAGCAATTCAATAAATTTCAGTGGTTTCGCGCAGGGAATTACTTTCCACATAGTAGGGATTCAACTTTCGAAATAAGTCGCTCTAACACTTTATTATTAGAGGCCTCGTTAATCCCTGTTCCCGAAAGGCATATTTGTATTAAATATGAAACAATTACAGGGGCTAAGTTGCCTGCAGGAGCGTCAAAATTATGGACGATTAACGCTGTTAGAATCAAAGTAAACTTTATGCAAATTTCCTGATTAAATTCAGCGTACCAAAATGAATTTTTTAATCGATATTAACTGCTCCTGTAAATACTGTTGAACGTCACTTCTTGCTCTCAGGTAACCAGTCTCACAATCAGTAGAGCACTTGCTTTCTTTTGCTTCTAATTGTTTCCTCCACATCTTTCTCATTTTCTTAATATTCTTATTCTGTCTATTCTTCTTCTTCT